AAGGAAAATAAAGCAAACATAGTCTCATCAAGAGGTGATTACCTTCATAATTAAGTAAATAATTTCATTAGAAGGCCACTACCATTAAAGTAAACATAGTCTCATCAAAAGGCAACTACCCTCATAATCAAATAAAAAAATAAATGGTTTTATTGGGAGGATATTATCCTTCAAGAAAGTAAAATAAGCATGGTCTCATCAAAAGGATATTACCCTCATAATTAAATAAATAATCTTGTTGAAAGGGGATTACCCTAAAAGCAAATAAAACAAATATAGTCTTATTAAGAGGTAACTATTCTTATAATAAAATAATTAAATAAATAGTCTCATTGGGAGACGACTATCCTCAATTAAAAATAAAACAAATATAGTTTCATTACGAGGCAACTACCTTTATAATAAAATAATCTAATAAATAGTTTCATTGAGAGACAACTATTCTTAAAGCAAGTAAAACAAACACAGTCTCATCGAGAGGCTAGTAACCTCATAATCAACTAATGAAACAAATAATCTTATTAAAAGATGATTACCTTTAAATAAAATAAAAATAATAATAAAATAAAATAAATATTCTTGTTAAAAGGCAATTATCCTCGAAGAAAATAAAACAAACATAGTCTTATTAAGAGATGACTATCCTCAAAATAGGTGAAATAAAAAAGTGACATTAATTGTATAGTTTAGCTTGACTTACCTAGCTATAAGATTTGGATAATGATCTTTGATGGAGACTCAACCTTAAATTCTTAATGGCAATGCTTGTACTTTGTCATGTTAAGGTTGAACTTCTTAATGGCAATGCTTAAATTTTTTTATTGCAAGGCTTGAAATACTTGATGACATGACTTGAACTTCCTAGTTGCTTAGCTTAAAATTACTAATGATAGGCTTGAACCTTATGATTATAAAGCTTGGAACCTCATGATGATAAGGTTTGAAAATTCCTAATGATAAAGTTTGAAACTTTTTATTATAGGGCTTGGACTTTCTGATGATAGGTTTTGAATATTTTGATTACATATTTTGGAACTTTATAATAATAGGGCTTGAAATGTCGTATTGGTAGGGCTTGGATTTTCTGATGATAGGATTTGGACTTTCTAATTACAGGGCTTAGAATTTCTTATTGCAAAGCTTGAACCTTCTAATTATAGTGGTTAGAACCTTCTAATAATAATGCTTCAAATTTCCTTATGATAAAGATTGAAATTCTTAATTACAGGGCTTAGATTTCCTTATGCTAAGGAGCTTAGAACTTCTTATTGGCAAGGCTTGAAATCTACTAATGATAAGGCTTGAAACATCTTGATAATAGGATTTTAACTTTTTGATCATAAGGATCGAACCTTCTTATTGAAAAGCTTGGAAATTCTTGATTCTTTTTATTGAAAAGCTTGGAAATTCTTGATTGTAGGGCTTGAACTTCTTGAATGATAGGACTTGAATTTCTTGAGTGCTCGACTTGAACTTTCTAATTATAGGGCTTAAGATTCTTGATGACAAGGTTGAAATATAGATGTCTTTTCTAAAGCAACAATTTATTATGATTTATTTAAGAAGCATAACTTTGGATTCAAATAAAAACACAACTTATATATTTTAAAAGTTTAATATTTCTTTTCCTATTATCCATAACTTCAAAGACATTTGGCTTTATAAGTGTCAATAACTAAGTACTAGCTTACTTGAACTATTTATGTGATCATAATACCTTCAATGTATATATGATTTTACCTTCATAACTTTTAATCATTAATTAAGCATGGTTCATCCACCATATTAGTTTAGCTCACATTAACTCTCCTTGTTATTTCCCTAAGTGTAGTTTAAAGATTTCTATTTATTATTTCATATTCTTGTCATCACTATGAAGAAGTTATCACCTCTACTATTTATAGCTAGTGAATGAGTTCTTTAATTCATTGCTTGGCTATTATATTTTTTTTTAAAGATGATTGTCCCTAACTAATATAATTATGTTAATCACTTTTAATAGCCATTATATTTGCATCATCATCCTTATATTTTACCAATAGCTTTGTAAATTCAGCTTATAAGAAAATTTTATTAAAAAACATTTTTTTTTGAAATAATCCTTTATTATTTTAACACTATGCCATAAAATTTAATGATTGTATTCATGTAGGTCCAATTATTAAAGTCAAATAATAGAGCTATAAATATGAAAGTATTTTCATCTTTTGGACATTTATGTCATAAGACCAAAATATGTCATTCAAATACTAAGGTGCAACTTTGGATTTTTTGTAAGCATATAAGAAAATGAGTATACAAAGAAAAGGATATCCCAAAATTTCCATCTCTTTTTAAGAAATGGCTTGAACAGATTCTTTGAAAAATTAAAAACTATTTTGTAAAGAAATTATTGGATTCCAAAAGGAAAGTCTTGACTTTCTTAAAAGATATGACACCTTGCTTTTTGTTATGTTGATTTTGCCCATGATATAATGTCATAAAGAATAATATACAACACAAATTAGTCATTATTGCATTTGAAAAATATTATTCTTCTCTTTTAAAGGCTAAAACTTATCAACATAAACAAATGATTGTTTTATAATAAAAAGCTTTTAGAAGAACATAATATAGGTTAAAGTTCATGTATATGAAAGAATATGACATGTAGAAGGCTCAAATGGTGTTTAAGGGTGTGAAAACATATGATCACTTATTTTGTGTGGCGATCTTCTAGGTTTACCGCTAATTTTGACATTTTAGTAATTGATCTCACCTTAATCTCAATTCTCTAAGTTCTATCTCATTTTTTCCATTAACAATTTGTCTTTAATTATATTAAAGATACTTTGTAGAGTTTTTTTTATTACTTTTTTCTCTTTTAAAACACTTGCCAACCCTTTCATATTTTCTCATTTCTTTCTATTTAGAGAATTTCATGATCATTCAAAAACTTCTAACACAAGCCCTTAGGATGAGAGGTAATACTAATTTAGGTTATTATCTAATAAATATTTAAGGCTCAAAGTTAGACAATAAAGGATAAGTTTTTATTTATGAAAGATATTCTAAAAATGGCTTTTTTCATATCAAATCCAAACTACTCATATCGACAAATCTTAGCCTTATTCAAATATCATTATTAATTAAGAAAACCATATTGTTAACCTTGAAGAAAAAGTGGCAGGACCATAACCTGAATGTATAATATTCATTATCATTTAGATCATCAAATCACTTATTCCATTTTATTTGTTAGACATGGAAAAGATAATTTTAGAGATAAAAAAGAAGTTTGGAAGTTAGTCCTCACTCTTATATGCTTTATTAAAGGTGAAAAGGTTATTTTAGGTTTCAATGAGAGGTATTAACCGCTAGATTTGCTTGATATATTTTGAAATTTAACCAATTATTTAGGAATATTAAATATTATTTTTATATAAATATCTCTTGATTTCAAAATAATAATTTGATATAAAAGGAAAGGAAATAATTTTAAAATATATAATATAATCCAAAAATATATGAAAAAAAGGTTGTAATGGCCTTATTTGTAAAGTACAACAATAAAATGGGTTAACAATGTAACTTTTCATATCAACAACTTTGTTAGACATTTGTGGTTTTATAACATTCATTAGATGTCTCATCATTTGCTATGATGATGATGAGTTCGTAATGATATAGAATATATTATTATCCCTTAAAAATATAATATGGCTCTTATTCACCAACTATTGGACTTGACACCTTAAATTCTTGTGTTTTTCAATTAGATAGCCCAAAATCCAATCATGATGTTCACATTTAGTGTTTAGATCATACAACCTAGGCATGGTTGTTGTATGATTTTTTTTAAAAATGGTGTAATATGTCTCATATCTATAAGGTATTGGTAGACAATGTTGAGTGTAAAAGGTATCTTGATCTTGAACAATAACACTTAAGAAGTTGACAATACTTGAGATGATCAATTAGGATGTCTAGGGGATAAATTATGTTTTTCAAGATTCATAATTTGAGGGCCATTTTTTTATACGTCATTTCGCTTAATGTTAATATTTATTGTTGAATTTGATTTCGCTTAATGTTAATATTTATTGTTGAATTTGTTATTCTTCCTACTTTTACATCATGCTCATTCCTTTCTATTGCAGTCAAAATATTCATTAAATGGGTTAAGGAATTACTAATTAATTATTCAAAGTATAGAGACTTGAAGGTGTTAATGAAAATAAATATGAGTTTTTTCTATAATAAAATTTTAAAATTCTTTTCATTGGATTTGTTTCAAATACTCGTTCTTTTTTTTTTTAAATCATTTCTCTATTAAAGAATTGTAAAATTCTAGTAAAACCCTATTTATCCTCTTCTATCATAACTCCCTCTTCTTCACATGCATTCTAATAACACATATTTATCTCTCTAAAACTCTTATTCAAACCCCTTAATTTATCTTATTTTTTCTTTTAAACCCTTTTATTTTTTCCCTCTCCATGACACAACAAGACTCACCATGTGCTATCACATTTGCTATCAGCCTAAATGAAAAGTTCTATCCAAATACAAACACAATTGATAGTCATTGATTGTATTAATAATTTAATTTATAATATTTTAACTTAAAAACTATAAAATTAATGCATGTAATTTTTAGTAATTTTATTTTCAAAATTATTTTTAAATAAAGTTCTAATTAAACACTCTGAAATTGTTTTTTATTTAATATTAATTTTAATTATAGTTTTAATTAAATATATATTTTATCAAATCAATCATAATTAAAAAGTGTTTTTTTAATTATTTTTTTTAAACACACACGATAAAAACTACAACAATGCTAGACACACCGGCCCAAATCAGTTAACCGAAACTCCCCAAATCAGTTAATCGAAATTCCAAAACCCAAACCACTTGTGTTATTGTGCACCAGCTAGTTAATGAAAGATGATCATAAATGACCGTGTTATGCAATAATTAAAATATTTAAGAGATTTTCTTTTTAGGTAAATACCTTTTATTTTATGATGATGATCATGTTTAAAACTTTAAATATTGCTGCTGCTGCTAATAATAATAACAAATACACACACTGTTAGAGAGTAAAATGTAGTATCAACCATCCGAATTCACAACAGATAAATGTTGTTTTGAATACTTCAAGAGATTAATATAATGGTCCTGTTTATTGATTAGATCCAAATCGATTTAGACTTACAAGACAAACAACATTCGGAAGACGGCACATAGAGACTTGGACAAAAATATCACCCCTCCTATGGATGGTGAGTCTACTTTTTATTATTCGTATGATGTTGATGATGATGGCAGCGGCATGAGAACAAGTTAAGCATTAGTGATATTTGAATTTCAAGTTCTCCAATGACTGTATTTGGATGAACAGATAGGTTTCCTCAGACAGTTTTTTAATTCGGTAGCAAAAGTTGATTATCTCACCTTGAGACATGGTTTTATCTCGGTAATGATCTTCCAAATACTCCACTAATCTTCCTGCATTAAACTTTATATAACTGGTGTGTGTGTGTGTCATCATAAGAATACATGAGATGATCAAACCTGTCTTCACCATGCTCACTGATGTATGGTGATGTGTGCACTTTCAAGGCTCTCTTGTCAACCAGGAACGTCAACCATTTCAATTTCCAAGAATACATACAGCGATCCTTAGACGACGATTTCAAGGCCGTTGTTAGCATTAGGTATTCTCACAAGCTAACAACTATCCTCATGGTTAACTTTTTTTCCTTTTCTTTTTCATTCCATATATATAGATCTCATTAAACACATACAGATCTATGCATTTATACATGCCTCTTTTTGGCAGTCCTTTAAAGTGGTTTTTGGTGGTAATTTTCTTGCTGCTGGACGTACATGGTAAATTCGGTTTGCCGTTCATCCTCTGTATTCAAGCATAATTAAATTATTTATGCTTCATTTTCTTTGCAATTATATATTTCTTCACATGCTTTTTTTTTTCTGGGACGTTCAGGTTGGAATGTATATCACTGGATTTCCTATGTTCCACTCGTGGTAATTAACTAAATTTATTCAAGCATTGTTACTGATTTTATTACAACGGAAATGGTATATACTGTAACTATCGGTAGCCATATCTGTGCTCTAAAAGGGG